TGCACAGCCCGCTGTCACCAGGGATCCTCTGCATACACAAGGGGGCTTCATTCAAAGAGGCTTTCAGAGCAGAAAAATGGAAGTGAAAAGATAATGGGACTTCTCCCAGGAGGTTTTGGAAGCTCCCACTCTATGGATAACTACCAACCCAGGTGGTCATTTTTATCTCGTGAAAGGTGGGGATGGGGGGTGGGAAGAAGGTTTGAAATGACCCCAGAAGGAGGAAATATTTCTGTCTATAAAGGTGCGGATGGGACTTTAGGGCTTCCTCAAGGCTGGAAGAGCTTCAAGGTGGTCAGCGAAAGATGCATTCCAGCCTCATGGTGCGTGGGACAGTACTTAGCATCACCCAGAAGAGTCATATCTTCACGTATGTGGCAATTGCTCACAAATTTATACGATACATTATTGATTTCATATATTTTTTGGAAATTCAAACATGCCAGTATCCATGCTCAATCTCCCAGGCTGCATATCACCCTCGCCATCTGGCGCTGCTTTGACAGCAATACAACGGTCTGCTCTAACAGAAAGGTTCGCAGGCTAGGAGGCTAGAAGTCCAACTGCAGGGCACCACCTGGAGAAGAAGGTTTTCCTCTGTGCCAGCCCTCGTCTCCTTTCAACATCCGAGGACCCAGCATCCCTTGAACATACGTATGTGTTTGGGCATTAGTCTTCCTCTGGACTCGTGGACACAGGACTCCCGTGGCCAGTGAGCTGCCTTCAGTCGCCGTGCAAGGGTAGATGCTCCAAGTGCACCCTCATGATGCGGCTGAAGGAGACCCCTTTCCTCCCCTACTGGAACAGATCTAGAACAGTCTCCTGACCAAGAACATGACTGCAGGTCCAGAACAGGTGGGGCAGAGGCTTCTCTGGTAAGGGACTTGGAGAGGGGGTGGGGGACCCAATGCCCAGCCTCCTTGTCAGAGAACATTTTGGGAATCTGACATACCTCTTTTTCCAACAGAAAGGGCCTGACGTAAGCAGTGCGGGGCCGGACTGGAGGGCAGGGCCCCATCGGAGTCCCGAGCCTCCCTGCCAGAACATCCTCATTTCCCCCCCTTGACTCTCTTGGATGGAGTGCTTGCTTTGTTTTTAGGAACTCGCCACTCCATCCACTCAACATTTTGTGGCACACATTTTTCTTTTTTTAATCATTTTATTGGGGGCTCGTACATCTCTTCATAATCTGTACATCCATCCGTTGTGTCAAGCACATTTTGTACATTTGTTGCCATCATCATTTTCAAAACATTTTCTACTTGAGCCCTTGGTATCGGTTCCTTTTTTTTACCCCCTTGTCTCCCCCAACCTCCCTCCCTCATGAACCCTTGACACATTAGAAATTTTTCTGTTTTCATGTCTTACCCTGACCGATGTCTCCCTTCACCCACTTTTCTGTTGCCCGCCCCCGGGATAGCTCAGGAAACCTGAGGGAGCTCGGTTCTGCTCAGGGACAAGCCGCATCACCGCGAGGATTCTGCTCAGGAACACAATCAGCTGAACGGCAGTAGGTCACAGACAGACCAGGGTTGGCCTGGCCCGCACAGCTCCTTCCTGATGTTCTGTTGGAAGTTAGCCATGTCGCACAGCCCGTCCGTGACCCCAGGGAAGGGGCTGCTCTGAGCACACAACCCCGTTGCTGTGGATTGGATTCCGACTCCAAACGATCAGACAGAAGGAAGCTGTGTTGCCTCCCAGGTTTCCAAGGCTCTCCTATGCTGGAATCGACTACCACGCCTTTTCCCCACAGCACCTGGTGACCTGGACTCACCACATCACCTGGGCTGCTGAAAAACTAAACTCGCTGCATGGAGTCGATTCCAATATCTAGTGGCCTTACAGGACAGAGCATCGCTGCCCCTACGGTTTTCCTGGCTACAGCTCTTTATGGGAGCAGAAAGTCTCTCCCACCAGAGTGCCTCCCCCGCAAGCCCCCTAACTCACTGCCATCCAGTCCAGGCCACCTCAGTGACCCTATAGGACAGAGTAGACCTGCCCCTGTGAGTTTCTGAGACTTTTTTTTTCTGTTAGAGACTTATTTGGCAGCAGTTCTACAATTCTCTAAGTTCGGTGCCATTTCTATTTCCCCCCCAATATTTTTGGAAATAACATTTGAATATCGTATCTTTGTTACAGGGACACTTGTGAATGTATTCCATTATTACATAAAGTTACGTAATGTGTTCAGATTAGGCAGATAACAAAATATACTCTCATACCACATAAGGGATGCATTATAGTTTCTAAAGGATTATGTTTGCAGGCATTCTAAATAGGATGCTCCTTTTAAAAAATTAATCATTTTATTGGGGGGTCTTTTACAAACCTTATCGAAATCCATAATTCAGTGGTATTAAGCACCCTTGTACATATGTTGCCATCAGACATTTCCAAAGCAATTTGTTTCTACTTGAGCCCTTGATATTAGCTCCTCTCCCTCCACCCCTCTGTGTTAGTCTGGGTGGACTAGAGAAACAAATCCAGGGAGACACATATGTATATAAGAAAGAGGCTGATATAGAAGAGCAGTTGAAACTGAGAAAACAGCCCAGTCCAGATCAAGTCCAAAAGACCCATGGTAGCCCATATATCTGATACCAATCTATAACGTCCTCTTCAAACTCACGCAGCACATGCAATGACGCCGAATACAGGAAGATCACAGGCCAGTGGGTGGGCAGTCTTGTGGATCCGGTGGCCTTGTAAGCATGTCAGCACTGGCAGGGGTCTCCACATGGCTTCTCCACCTCCAGAGGTCTGGCTCCATCAGCCTTTCTCCATTGTCTTTGCCATAGGGATGTCTCACAGGGAGTGAATAGAGAGTCGTTCCTGCCTCCAAGGAGGAAATACAGGAGTTCCCAGAATCCTCAGGAGAGCGCCATGTCCTCATAAAGGCCTTGTTGGCTCTATCCAGATTGACAGGCTAGACTCCACCCCTTCGCTCTGAATCCTCAAATTGACACCAAATTAGGTAACTACCACACCCTCCCTCCCCAACCCCCGCCCCCAATTCCTGAAACCACGATCAATTATGTATTATTATTATTCCCTGAGACTGTAACTTTATACAGGAGTAGAGAGCCACATCTTTCTCCTACGGGGCTGGTGGTTTCAAACTGCTGACCCTGCAGTTAGCAGCCCCTTGCATAACCACTCTGCCATCAGGGCTCCAACACTGTCTAATACACACACACACCCCAACATCCCAACTTGAGTGACAACTGTTGCTGGGTACACGTGACGACTTCCGTCACAGCCCTGGAGTCTTTTCTCACATGACGAAGGATAAAAACAGGAAACCAGACTCACGTTTGTCGAGTCGATTCCGGCTCACAGCCACCTTTGAGAACAGAATTGCTCCTTAGGGTTCCCAATGCTGTCATCTTTGAGGAAAGCAGCTCTGGTTGGCGTCGTGGTTACAGGTGGGCTGTGATCCAGAAGACCAGATGTTTCAAACCAACCGACTACAGTCTTGGAAGCTCACTGGGCAATTCTATCCTGTCCTCGAGGCTCGCTATGAGTGGGCATACACTCAGGGGCAGAGAGTTTGGTAATCTTTGAGGAAGCAGCCTTTGTGGGTTTCTGAGGCTGGGACTCTTGGGAATAGAAAGCCTCGTCTTTTGTTCAAGGGGTGGCTGGTAATTTTGAACTGTCAGCCCTGTGGTCAGCAGCCCCACGTGTAACCCACTGTGCCACAAGGGCGCCTTTGATATACCAGGAGGGCTAAATAAACCCATATCCACCCACTGATATATATATCAGGAGGGCTATGTATATATATATGTGTGTGTATATACACACACACACACACACACACACACACACATACCAGGAGGGCTAAATAAACCCATATCCACCCGCTGATATATATATATACCAGGAGGGCTAAATAAACCCATATCCACCTGCTGATACACACACACACACACACACACACACACACCAGGAGGGCTAAATAAACCCATATCCACCCGCTGATTTTATATATGTATACCAGGAGGGCTAAATAAACCCATATCCATATCCACCCGCTCTGCCTTATCTACACAAGACTCCCGTAGAAGCGGATCTCGTTTATAACCCAAGACGGAGGCTTTAAACTTTAAAAAGTTGTAGTTATGAGACTGTTAGATTTCTCGAGGGAGAGATATATCTCGGTCCTTGCCTCCATGCGAGAAAGAATTCACACCAAAGCCTGCATTGTGATCCAAGCGAGTTTTATGAAAGAAGCTCCAGGTTTGCACAGGCACCTCAGGGCTCTTGACATGCGCACGCGGCGTCCTGAGGCCAGAGGAGATGCTGCACGACCTCCGAAGGGCAGCTTGAGAAGCAGAAGGGCCCAAGGCTCTGGATTCTGGTTTTTAAGGTCCTGCGCTGGGGGCATGGTCAACGATCCTGGTCAACCCCATTGGCTGAATTAAATTCACCCGGCCCAGATGGGCCAATCCAGGTGTCCCGCCCACCTAGGTGTACCACCCCTTCTTGGCCAGAAGCTCAAACCTCTGAGCATGTATAATGGGCGCCCCAGTCCCTATGCTCGCTACCTAACGTTTCCCCCCTGAAGAGGTATGGACCCAAATCTTTGGGGTACTGGGCGACGATGACATCTCTAGCTACTTCCTGCTGACAAAAGGGGGTGGAGTGGGGCTTTGGGTCCACACCCTTCCTACTCAGTTGGAAGGGGTTGTCCGCTCAGGGCCCAGGAAGGATAAGGTTGAGGTGGTCCAGGAGCTGCTGGTCCT